TACTTTTTGTTGTTGTGGTCCCTTTGATGAACCAAGACCTGTTGTGATAGATAAACCTTTTTATTTTTCGATATTGGGCAGATATAAGTTGCCTCTTTTCTTTGGGAAAATCTCAAACCCAAAATATTGAAAGTCATTCAATTATTATTATTTTATTACTTAGTTGATGATAAATTGTATAATTTGAATGAAATTTATAATGGGCTGTACTGAAGTCTACAAGTAATCAGGAATTAAATTATAATTCATTAGTATAAAAACATTAAACAAATAAGCGTTACTGTAAAACATTTAATTATTTGTATAATTCAATGATTGCATCATTTTTTCAAGACAATCTTCAATTTGAAATGATGAAATTCTGTTGTTTTCGTCATAACGCCAACACATTTCAATGAGAGTGTATTGTTCTTCAGTAATCTGTTCAATTATTTTAAGATGGTTTCCTTTAATTACAAATTCTGCTATTTTCCATGGAAATTTAAATTTCTTTTGTTGATAAGCTTCACACCATCCAAACACTTCGTACAATGTTATTCCAAATGAATAGATGTCGGCACTTTTTGTGTACTTTTGTTGTTTTAAAATTTCAGGCGCCATGTACTTTGGTGTACCAATACCTTTGGTGAATGTCATATTAGTCATCAACATATTAACATTTCTACTACTTCCAAAATCAGTCAATTTTGCATTCACATTGCTGTTTAAATCAAGTGAAACAACCAAAATATTGTCTGGTTTGATATCTCTGTGTAAAATTCCGTTGTTATGTAAATAAGATATTCCTTTTGAAGCATCTAACATCATTTTAACACGAAGTATTACATCAATTTCGCCACTCTTTTTATGTTCCATCAAGTCCTGTAAGCTCCCAAATTGAGCAAACTCGGTTACCATACACACTTTATTTGGTATGAAAACGGCGCCATAGAAGTGGACGATATACTCACTGCGGAATTTGTCTAACATAGAAACTTCGTTAATAAATTCATCTATGGCATTATCGTCCATGATATTTTTCATCTTTTTGATTGCGACGATATGTTTTCTGTAAGTGCCTTTGTAAACAATTCCAAAAGATCCTTCGCCAAGTTTATTTTCTTCAACCAACTCGTCATAATCAATTCGTGTGGATTGTTGTGTTGTTCCGTGTAAAGAAATTGTGTTGTATTTTTCATCTCCATTTTTAAAATTCTTTGAGACAATTTGAAGCGAATTGTCAATTTGACAAGTGCAATGAGGGGTTAAATAAATTGAAAATTCACATGCATATCCTCTCTTTAACGAAACGACTTCCGGGTCAATTTTTATTGTAAATTTATCAGAATTCACAGAAATAGTAAACTGAATTTTGATAACATTTTTGTTTGTGTTCCCAACACAAAACATTTCACGACTTTCTTGTTCGACTGGAATTTCTGTTGATTCATAGTTAAAGCAAATTTCTTTGGAAGACACACAAATCCCATTTTGAAGTGCTTCAAATTTTATATTTGAATTATTCATTTTGAAGAGTGTTGTGGTCTTTTCGACACTTTTTGTGTGTATTTTACCTAGTATTTTCTTTGTAAAAACAATTAAAAATACCACGCTTAATATTAATAGTATACAGAAAAATACAACAGCAATTAAAATGACCCACCACACTATTTGAGATTCACATGAAATGCCATCACCACTTGGGACATTCCAAAATGAACATTTGGAACATTTTGAATTTGTTATTTCATGACAATTTGATACTTGAGAAAGACCAACACATGTATTATTTAATAATAAAACTTGAAATGGTTCGCATGATATACATTGCTTGTTATTCAGCACACACGTTTTACAATTATTATCACACTTTTCACATTCATTCGAGTTTTTAATAAAATATCCACTTTGACATTTGGAACACCCATTTTGTGTCACTTCAACACTACACCCATTAATGGAACTTTGTGGTTTACATTCACCGTTATTTGTCTTATAATTTGTTAAATTACAAGTCAGACAAGTGTCCTTGTTCAAACAAGTTGAACACTTTTCATTACACTTGAAACAATTTAATCCTTCTCGATAATATCCATCAATACATTTCACACATCCGCCAGATTGTACAAACTGTGTGCAAATTCCATTTAAATCTTCGTTAGTTACACATTTGTGATTAGAAAGAAAAGTACCTTCTGGGCAGCTCAAACAAAACGTTGAATTTAATAAACAAGTCCGACAATTATCATCACAATGTTCACAACTTTCTGTTTGTTTGTCAAAGTATAATAAATCAATACATCTTTGGCAACCCATCTTGTTGTTTTGAACACAGTTATCATCAACTTGCGAATAACATGTATGGTTAGATAACACAAACCCACTTTCACATTCAACACATTTGGTGTTTGTTTGAAAAGTACAATTCGATATTGCCAACAAACATTTTCCATTCTCATCATTTGGATTGTTACAGTTATTTGTTTCGCAACTACCCAACAAGTTTATTAAAGAAATTGAATTGCATTTTGTTATTCTATTAAGTTCACAAAATTCACTTTTCTCGTATTTTTCTTCACAAAGTATACATTTATCACCGTCTAAAAAATATCCACGTTGACAAGAAAGAATTTTTGAATTATCAAACAAGATAGAGTGTTTATCAACTTCAATGCATTCTCCTTCTCTATTAATGCAATTTGATAAAATATTACAAATACCACATTTACCATCTCTATCGTAAACAATACACTTTTCAATGGGTTCACAAACTCCATTTCTAATATAAAATCCATTCATACATTTAAGACATCTATTTGATTTTATCAACAAACAATTTGATATTTCTACACATATCCCATCTTTAAATAAATAATGAAAATCACATTGTTCACACACATTTTTATTGGATGAACATTTAATACAATTTGCATCAGTGCAATTAATACAACTTTGAGTTGTTTTGTCATAATAAATATTTACACAACTTCTACCATAGATGATTTTAGTGGTGTTTTGTGTGTTGATTGCTGCTTTAAATTGAACACCCTTTAATGCCAAATTTGTTTCTGATATGAAGAGAACTGTTTTTGTCAATGAAGTTATCTGTAAAGATAAAATGTCGTTTGTTGAAATTCCCAAAACAAAGTTATCAGTATTATACAACGAAATTTGTTGATTTCCAATTGTTACACTTTCATTTGAAAACTCGTCTTCGCTTTTGAAAGTATTCTTTTCTGTTTTTATCGAAGAAGGTTGAATTAAAAGTATCGTGACGTTGTTTAATGGAGTAATATACCAATCCTCTGAACTGTCACAAGGACAATATGATTCGACAAATTCCATCAAATTGTTAATTGTATTTTTTACATGACAAAATATTTTCTTTGAATTGCCAAATCTGAGCAATTTGTCGTTTAATAACTTGATAGCGCCTATTGGTGTTGAACCAGTAAACGGTATTTCTGAATATATCAAATCAACATTAGAAAAACCATAACTACCGCTTAACAGATCAACCATCTTTGTAAAGAACAGGGGAGTATCTCTTATCGTTCTGAAATAGATGTTCATATCACAATCATTCAAATTCAAACTGTTTGATATGTTAAAATACAAGTGGCTTTGAACGTCTATTATTCCAGAAAAACAATTCATATTTTGACTTTCAATATAATTGATTTGTGGGGTTATGTTGCTATTCTTGTGTTTTAAATTTCCGTATTCTGTAACACTCAAAATCATCGTTTTTAATTTTGCATTTTCATTTATATCAAATGTTGCGCCTCTGGATATTAAAAATTCATTTTGAACATTAAGTTGTGAATTTCCATACATTGAGAAAAAAGTATCTCCATTTAAATCAAGTCCATTTTTCAAAACGAGTTTTGAATTTTCATTGATAACAGTTTTAGATTTGTCACCTAATAACACTCCCTCTTCTGACACAAAAAATGCATTGTCAGTTACGCTAAATACGATGTTTTCTTTCATCAAAGTGTTTTTCCCAACATTAATTATCGAGTCTTCTTTTAAAGTTAATGAGACACTTCCATTCACGTTTAAAATACCCTTACAAATTATAAATGCGTTTCCACCTATTTCATTAACACTATTGCCACTCAACTCTATGTTTTCCCCAACATCCAATTTTGAATTTTCTTTCATTGTTAATGTCGCGTTTGCATACACATTAAGTCTATGTTGAGCAATTGTGTTGGAGTATCCAACAAGGAATATTTGAGAATTATTGTAGAATTCAATATCTTTTTCAGAAAATACTGTTGCATTTTCTAATAAATATAATTTTGAAGTTTCCCTTAATATTAATAGTGAATTTTTTGTAGTAGACACGTTTGAGTTTCCTCGTGCAATTACAGTCGCATTATTATAAATATCAAAATAAGCAAATGTTTGAATTAACGAATTGCCTTCAAAAATATTTGTTGAATTTCCAAATATGAAAAGGTTTGGGACTACAGTTACATTTGTGTTATCTTTCATTATGAAAGTTGAGTTTCCCATAACATGAAAATTAAATGTTGTGTAAATAGTAGAAGTTCCAACCATTGTTAAAGTTTGAATTGAAAAATAATTGCCTATGACGATTACATTACCATTTGTTGCTTCACAATCATAATCTATTGTCAAATTTGTATAATATTGATTTAAAAACGAACATTGTTCGCCAATGATTTGAGTTATAGAGATCAACAACGTAAGGAACAAATTCATACAATTTAGAGTTTTTTAAACATTAAAAAATTCTATTAATAAAGATTGAATCGAAAAGTTAATTTGTTATAATATTTAAATTTTTCAAAATCTTTTTGGTGTTTTTAAATAATTAACTATTTACCAATTGTTTTTCAAATAGCAGGAATCTTCTTGTAACAAGCAAATTATTTTTATTAAAAAATACAAAAATAAATTTCTTAAAAAAACAACTTTTTTATATTTTTTTGTTTAAAAACCAAAAAAATCTTTTGCAAACAATCCAAATCCCGATCCATTCAAAAAACTATTTAAATTAAAGTATATCTTAAAACTTTATTCGTTTAACCCGAAAACAAAAATTTTTATTTAAATGGAATTGTTTTAATAGAATAATTTATAATTGAATTAGTTTTTTCAAAGCGACTTGAAATAGAAAATAAAAAAACGAATAATAATTTTAAATCCATTAATTGTTGATATTCTTTGGATATGTTTATAATTTTTGATAGAAAATTAATAATAAAAACATAACTCGTTGTAAGTTTTAAAACACAGCAGACACAAAAAATAGAAAAGACAACTTCAATAATAGTGGGAAAACGTCAATAAACGACATGGGACATCTTTTGGATCATTTTCAGTACTTTGTTTGTATGTCCTTTTTTAATTGTTGTTTTTAAAAATATATATAAATAATTTTTAAGAAATAATAATTTTTGAAATGATAAAGGGATTCATGAGGATTGTTAATTTTTCTGGTGATGGTAAATATCTTAAACATAATTTCTTTCAATTTAGATTTTTTTGCCTAAGATCAAAAAGGTATATTTTGAAACACATGATTTTCTTTAAAAATGCTATTTATGGATTTTTTGAAAGATGATTCTTGGAGTTGATTTTTACAAAAAAATAATCTACTTCTATTTTCTGATTTACCACAAGACTAACTTTGGTTTATATGAAAACATTTGACAGACATTTAAATTATCGAAAAAGTCGATTTTTTTTATCGAAAACACAAAACAAATTAATCTAACAATTTTTAATCTTTTTTACAAAAAATACAATTTATTATAAATCAATTCATGAAATTTCAAACAATAAAAATTGATAGCAAATCACATATTAATAATTAATACTTTATGCGATGACAATTTATGTATTTGCACAAATTCAAAACGCGAGGTTTTGGATATCGATAAAACAACAATTGATAAATAAACAAATTTTTAAAATAAAATCATTTTTGTTTTAAACGGTTTTATTTATATTTTAATAACATATACACACAAGAAATATATGTTTATATTATTTTTTATACAATATTAATTCTCAATAGAAATTTGTTCAATTTATTAATCAATTTTATATATTATTTGGCGTTTTTGTTGTGTTTTGACGATTTTTGATATAATCAATTATCAAAACTCACTTTATAAAAATTCTTTGATAATTTTATTTATAGAATTTTAAATCAGAAGTGGCAGTGCTATAAATATCTCTGAGGATGGTAAGTCGTGTAACAAACAGACATTACCAACACGGACTTAAACATCTAAAAAGTGAAATGACGTGTTCCCATATTCAAAAATAGTAACTTACTCAATATACATTTCAGATAGATGTAAAAGTGTAAACTTTCTATTTCTGTCATCCTCAGAAAAGAATTGCCATCCTCAGAACTGTAAATCTGTTTAAAACACAAGTTAATATCAATATGAAACAATCATATTAAAATATACACAATATGATTAACTTTGTTATTATAATAAATTTGAATAATTGCATAAATTACAAAATTATTAATAAATTTGTTATTTTAAAATTACATTTTTTGAAAATCAGTGTTTTCGACTTTTTCAATTTTCATTTTGATAAAAAAACAATTATCAATTTAAATGTAAATTCAATTATTATGTTATAAAGACGGATTCGAAAATAATTTCAATAAGTATATAATCATAATATGAACAAGTTTAATTCGCGTTTTGTTATTTCCCGTCTCAAGTTCGCGAGATATAATTA